GGAGCGCTCGGCTAAAACGGGCCCCAACAAACTATATAATATGCTCCACAGTCATGAACATCGTTCTCCTTTAAATTGAATAAAATTCAAACAAAATTTATATATTCATCCCTACTTATAAATTGAAATAATTCAACTTCTATATATTTGAATCAACTTTTATATTCGAATCAACGAATTAAAATTCCTCTCGAAAGATATTTGTGAATGCGCTGAATCTTAGTGAATTTATCCTACAGGATTTATTCCATGTCAAGATATTTTTTTTTTTTTTTTCAATGCAGTAGTCAATTCAATTATTGTATAACTTCATTTTTTGTTAATTCCAAATATTGTTTTGATAACTGCAAAAAAAAAACGATATTAGTAATATTGTAAATTTTTTTTATTTTTTATATAAATTGACGATTGTTATTAAGAATTTTCTATTTTAATTTAAATTAGTGATAAGTTATTCAAATGAGGGAAAATACACTGGAAATTTTACTGATTCAAATTAAAAGAGTTTAAAATTTACCGCCAATTTTATAACAGTGCTACCAGCTGAAAGAAATTTTCGGGAATCCCAATATTTTCGTTAGTAAGCTTTTGAAATATTACCAATAATTTTTTTTCTGTATTATGGGATTTACTTTTTTTAAAAATCAAATGCAATTTTTGCAGGGAGAAAAATAGACTATTGAATCTACAGCATTTCCGGTAAAGGCATAAAAATTATTTATTAAAAATCTATAGAATTTGTAAAATACGATATAAATTCTATAACACATAATTTTGAAAAAAAAAAAATTTTCTGGACTTTTTTTTCCCATTTTATACAATATTATTATATGGCATCGTGAAAAAATGTATCATTATTTTTAGGAAGAATTAGAAAAAAAAAATTGGAACAAAAGTTTGTCCAACTGTATATTTTTGTATTTTTAAAGAAAAAAATGAATGATTTAAATTTAAATAAAAAAAACTTTTTAATTTTGATTTCAATGTAATTTCTAGTTGTTTAAAATTAAATTATTTAAAATTTTACAGAAGCTTTTTTAAATTTAAATTATCTTTTTCTTTTAAAATACAAAAATACACACGCAGTTGGATTAATTTTTATTCCGATTCTTCCTTAAAAAAAAATATTGATTATGGGTTGTATTGTTTAGATTCTTATTATTTTTAAAATTGACTGGAAACAATTACTGTAATCATATAAGCAACTTTTTTCTCAGTGTATAAAGACAAAACTTAACACCATCCCATAAATATCTTGTATGCTCGTAAAAAAATAAAAGATGGCGTACAATTTCACAGTGATTTTTCAAAACTATAATTGTTTATCTATAATAATATAATATTGTTTTGAAAATTATCACAAGAGACAATTGAAGAAAAAATTATTGCTGCGTAATATTTTTTTTTTACTTATTTCATAATTTTTAGTTATAAATTCGTTTCTTAAAATTTTGTCAATTATATATAACAATTATATTTTATTGTATATAGTACTCTATATTTATTTCGTCTTTCTTGCTTCAAAATTATGAGCAATTATATATACATATTTCAGAAAATTATCCTGATTTTTATCTTTATTATTCTTTCATTAATTATATTCTCCTCGCTTCTCATCTTTATCTCTTGATCATTCTTGACCTTGTCAAATGAAACATTTTTTAATAGATTCACAAATGTGGTGGGGAAATAAAGACCTATGAAATTATAATATTTAATGTGTTGAGTAGAAATTTTTTTTTTTTTTTTTTAAGAAATGTTAGAAAAATATATATTCATATAAATTGCGTTAGATTTTCGTTGACCATAAGAATAGAATGTAGGCGGACATGAGATGGAAAAGACTTTGATGTTTGCCTCCCACGCATTTTCATTGAAGTTACAATATAATTCTTCCGCATGACCGATTGAAACCTCGAACGATGATCAATTATATATGAAAACAGTAGAAAAAAATAGACGTAAATCTGCAACAAGAAATTGTAATAAAAAATCATATAATGTATATTCTTCTCTTGACACACTATACTATCTTCTTCGTTCTCTTCTACTTCTTCTTCTTCTTTTTCTTTTTGAAGGGAAGGGGTCCAAGGTTCTTCTACTGACCAGATATAATAGAGAAAAACATGTTCAGAACAGGTTCTTGTGATTGCATGATTTTTCTTTAATTCTATTCTTGAAATGTTGCCAAGAATTTTATGGAATTTTCTTTGTTATATATATATATATAAGATACAGTATAAAGTGAAAGTTCCATTATAGGATTTAAACCTTTTAATTTTTAAATGGTTTCAGAAGGAAAAATTTTTTAACGACCAATAATTACACACACACATAATGTAATTATATTATTATGTTTATATAATATATTGTAAATATAATTCAATTGTATATGTAATAGTAATAACACTTGATAAATATTAATATTTGGAAGGAATAGAATTCACGTGAACCGCACGAAGCAAAGGGCACTAACGGATTTAATTGGATGGAGATAAGAAAAGAAGAATAATAAAGAACGGAAGTTTCATGAGGCCAGAACGGAACAGGTTCTTCAGTCATTTTGATATTATCCCTAAGGCCTATAGGGTTATTACTCCCCCCCCCCCCTTCTTCTCGTTTTCTTTTTTTTTTTCTCTTCTTTTCAATTCTTGCGTTCAAAGCAAAAAATTCAAGTTTCAAACGTGCATCACAAAGACATTTCTGACATAATGATTAATGGTAACTTCTCAAAGAAGATTTCATGTAGTACATATGCAACATAATATATCTATATATATATTACGAACTAGTCGAGTGAAATCTTTCGAATACTTCCCATAATTGAATAATTATAATTCAAAATTAATGGTAAATTACCAAGTTTTGATTAATTTAAAATATTTATTTCAGAGAAAAAAAAATAATTAAAAAAATTAGTTTAATTCGAATTCTATTATATTTGATTGTTATTTTTGTTTGTAAAATATTTTTTTTTATATAAATTGTAAATTTGAAATTGAGAAACAATGTGAGAAACTTATACACAGAATGAAACACTAATGATTTTATTGATGATAGACGCGCACACAACAGTGCATCAGTTCGCTCTTCTTTGGTATATACTTTCACCGACCATGACTTCTACACGTTCCATTTGAGAGAAGCACTACCAGTTTACCTGATAATAATAAGGGATTCTTTTCAGCGCGATTTGAAAATGTCATCACTGACATGATACGTATATATTTCTATCCATGTAGTAAAATATATATATATATATATGTAAATTGGTAAACTTAACAAATATTAATTATTATCTAAATAAATCATAATTGCTATTTTTTACTTAAAAATTACTAAATATTCCTACTGGTAACAAAAATTTTTCTGGTATTAATGAAATGTTAGAAAAATAATTGTAATACAAAATCACTCTGGAAATGATACCAACCATAGAAATCTGAAATTCCGGTCAGGATCATTTTGAGTAACTTGAAGTTTGTTGCTTACTCAATTCAATACCCAATTCAGAATGAGTTCATCTATTATTTTTCCTTTGACCCAGTAAACCTAAATTTCACCATTTTTTTCATCAAGGAGGATTATTTATTGCAAAAAAAAAAAAATATATAGTGTTATGTATTATATGTAACGGAAAATATTTTGAATTTTAACATTCGTATTTTACTATTATAGTAAAACGTTGTGAAATATATCTGGAGCTTTTCGATCTTCGTATACCGCAGGCAACTTCCAAGGTGCAAAAATCTTTAAAAAGAACATAAAACAGTCGTTAAAATGTTGATTCTACTCAAGATGAAATATTACTTCTATAAATCCATTGTTCCTGACCATGCAAACTTTTTTTTTTTCATTTTAAAATACTAGATCTAAAGAAATTTTTTATTCCAATCAGATATAATTTATTTGAATTAAATAAAAATATATTTGTCCATTATTCTAAGGTTGAATATTTATTTGAAATAAATAAATATATTTAATTAGCTCTAATATATATATATTTTTTTAAAAACATATATTTTTCTCTGTGTGCATTTAATAAATAAATTTAATTATTATTATTACAATTTTTATCGTCTTGAATTAATGGTTTTATTGTTTATTATTTCGATGAAATTGTAAAATAATTAATATTATAATAATAAATTAAAATTTATACACAATAGTGAAAAATTTAGTGAATCCCATTATGAATCAATGTTGCCAACAGAAATAAATTGGGATTTCCATCGAATTTCATATAATTGGCGCCACTGTTGCAAAATTCGCGGCAAATTTAGAAAACCTTGATTCTAATTTTTCATATATTACCAATACAAAACAATTATTATCAATTTAGAGAAAATTATAGAAAAATTTTGAAATTTAGATAATTTATTAGATAACCATATATAAAAAAAAGATAATAATTACAAAAGTGGAAATATAAAAATTGAAACTCAAATTGAATTTATTATTATTTTTTGAAATATTTTATTTTAAAATCTCATCAGTATACATATTTCGAAAATATATTTCATGTATACAAAATCTAATCCGACATAGTGTATATATATATATATAATGAATAATTTCAGTAATATGTACAGGAAAACAAATCTTTTAAAAAAGGTTTTTCACTCGGATTAAAAAAAAAAGTGAAGATCCTATATAATGGAGTGGCATTAAATTCCCCCAGTCAAAAAACAACCTGCGTTTACAAAAAGTATTAGGGGGACTTCACCGAATGACCTAAATTCCTAATTCTATTATATTCTATTTTCAATGGTATAATAAATTTAGGGCCCCATTTTTAAAGCTAGGTAACACTTTCAAAAGGAAAACTAATAGCTATGATATTTTTTATTTTAAAAAATTAATTGACAATTTATAATAGAAAAAATTATTTTTTTTTTTTAATAAAAATGATAAAATTGAAATTAAAGTAAAAATGTAAAATTAAAAAAAAAAAAAAAAAAAAAAAACTAACTAATGATGTAATTTTTTGTTTTTTGCAGGTAGGGACGATCTGTCGCCTCCAAGTTCGCTGAATGGGTACAGTGTGGATAGTTGCGATGCAAAAAAGAAAAAAGGCCCAACTCCTAGGCAACAGGAAGAGCTCTGTTTGGTTTGCGGTGATAGGGCGTCGGGTTATCATTACAATGCCCTCACCTGCGAAGGATGCAAAGGCTTCTTCCGTCGGAGTATCACAAAGAATGCGGTTTATCAGTGCAAGTATGGAAACAATTGTGAAATTGACATGTACATGCGTCGCAAGTGCCAGGAGTGCCGGTTAAAGAAATGCCTTACCGTTGGTATGAGACCAGAATGTGTGGTTCCTGAGTATCAATGCGCGGTCAAGCGCAAAGAGAAAAAGGCCCAGAAGGTAGGGGTAAGGACATATCGCTTTTCTTTCATTGCTTTTCAAGGCCAGAAATCAATTTTCTATATTTTATATATTTATCACATTCACCTTTCAATTTCTCTCTCTCAAAAAAAAAGAAAGTAATAAAAATACCTTTTTACATAAATACGAGACGAAAATGTAAAATTGTTCTCTTCGAAAATTAATACTTCAATGGAAAAATTGAATATATTTTATCTTTTCTAAATATAAAAATTTCAAATAGTAAAAATAGAAATAAATTGTAAAATTATGATAATTATACAAAAATCAATAATATTTACAATATGTATTGAATTAACTTCTTTTTTTTTCTATTTTCAAGTTTTATTATCCTTTTTAATGAAAAGTTCAACATAATTTTTCTCGCTGACTAATATACTTTAAAAGCATCAAACTTGAAGGTATTCTGCTTTTGAAGGGTACCTTATTCGAGACAGGTAAAGAACTGAATCGTTTTTAATGAGTTTTGTGACGAAGAAATATTGGTTTGATTCCTATAATACTTTTATAGTATATATCGATATGAAACATTCAAAATCTAGATTTGAAAACTATAAAAAGAAATTTCACTTGAAATATTTTGATGGATTTTAAAAGACTTTTGCAATATAATAAAAAGTGGATATAATAATTTATTATCCTATATGTTTTTTTAAAAAAAAAAGAACACTCCTCCAATTGAAAATAGAAATAATTATTACACAAATTTTGTACTTTAAAAATTTACTATAAAAATTATTTACATTTTTAATTCATATATATTTATAAAGAGATGATAAATAATTCATGCAAGTTTTTTTTTATATTCCGATATTAAATATCAAACTAAATTTTATGTCGCAATCGACAAATTTTTAATGAAAAATTATTTTGAATAAAAATTCAACAATTTTTAATATCATTTCTTTTTGACAAAAATTAGATTTTCCATTTGTGATTGATAATTTTTTTAAATCGTTTATTAAACGTTGAGAATTTTACTACTATTGAATTTTTATATAATGATGAATTGTCACGTTCTTTAAAGTTATAATTTCAAAAACGCTTTAAGATTGTGTCTTTTTTGAGAAATAAAAATATATTTAGAAGAAAAAACAAAAAAAAAAAATTTTTTCTAAAATTTAGAAAGAAAAAATAAAATTATTTTTACGATACTTTTATTTTTTATAATTATATAGTGAAAATATTTTCTTGATTTCTGGTCTTGAAACAAATTATCATACAATCAATGGTATTGCCTTCCTATTTCAGAAAGTTGCGCTTATGATTAAAATGAAGACAAATTTTAAACATTTCAATTTGAAAAATGATTTGAAAAAATTAATAATTTTATCAAAAAAATAACAAATTTAATTTATTTAAAAAATAATAACCGAATTAATAGTTACATGTATTTTAAAAATTTTGCAGCTTTAGATTTTTATTCATTTTCTTTACTATTTGCATCATAATTGCAAGTCTTAATAAAGTAACATCAAAAAATTCATTTATCTTTAAAATAACTAATTTCCTTTTTTTGACATTATTATTATTATTATATTAATAGTTTAATAATTTAATTTTTTTATTTGACAAAAACAAAAATTGTGATTATTATACAATATTTGATAAAACATCATTGCAATTAAAATTTCATATCATTATAACATTGAGGCAGCTTTATAGGATCAATGCCTTAATGACAGAAGACTAATGGGAATTTATTTGTTTTTTTTTTCAGGAGAAGGATAAACCTAATAGTACAACGATGAATGGTTCACCGGGAAGTCTCACTGGTATCGGGACGGAACATATAGTAAAGTTGGAACCAACGGAGGGCGATTCTCTCTCAATGTCTGGTAGCAGTAATGCCGTTATCCCCATTGGTTCGCAAAATGGTGTTAAACCCGTCAGTCCTGAACAGGAGGAGCTAATACACAGGCTCGTTTATTTTCAAAACGAATTCGAACAACCTAGCGAGGAGGATCTCAAAAGGATCACTGTGAGTTCATTAAATATTTTTAATTTTCATAATTTTCTTTTTTTTTATATCAAAATTATTTTATCAGTCTTTTTTTTTGAAATTATGATTTGTGAGTAAAATTGCTTTTTGTTTTTCTTTGCAGAATGCACCAACGGACAATGAGGATCCTAGTGACGTTAGATATAGGCACATCACTGAGATCACGATATTGACGGTTCAGCTGATTGTAGAATTTGCCAAGAGGTTACCGGGTTTTGATAAGCTGATGCGCGAGGATCAGATTGCACTGTTAAAAGCATGTTCGAGCGAGGTGATGATGCTCAGGATGGCAAGGAAGTACGACGTGCAAACGGATAGTATTGTCTTTGCTAATAATCAGCCATACACACGCGACAGTTACAGCTTAGCAGGAATGGGCGAAACAATTGAGGATCTTCTTCATTTTGGAAGGCAAATGTGCTCCATGAAGGTCAACAATGCTGAGTACGCTCTACTCACAGCCATCGTTATCTTCTCAGGTGAATAAAAATATAAATTTCAATAAAAAAAAAAAAAAAAAAAAAATGCAACAAATATATTTTCGAATGAAAGAATTCTAAATTAATTTAATTATTTCAGAGAGGCCCAATTTGTTGGAGGGTTGGAAAGTGGAAAAGATACAGGAAATCTACCTCGAGGCATTGAAAGCCTATGTAGACAATCGGCATAAGCCAAAGTCCTGTATGATGTTCGCAAAATTATTATCGGTGCTGACCGAGTTAAGGACTCTCGGCAATCAAAATAGCGAGACATGTTCCAGCCTGAAGCTCAAGAACAAGAAGCTGCCACCTTTCCTCGCCGAGATCTGGGACGTGGTGCCCTAGTTTCCCGATCGATGGTCACCGGGACCTGCACCGGTCGGCTAAAATTGATGTTCGGTCGCGCGCGCGCGCACACACACACAAGACCTTCGAAACAAAAAAAAAAACAAAAATCGTCCAAGGGACGATTGTTCAGGGATAATTTCGAAAGCCAGATATGCATACCGCAAAAAAAAAAAAGAGGTTGTCCTGGCGAAGGAGGCGGCGTACGTGACTTTTGTACTAGTGCACCATTGTGCCACTGCCTCCGCATCATCATCATTATTATCAATCATCGTATAATCGTCGTCGTCGTCGTCGATAATCGCTCCCATGATGTCTTTTTTTTCTTTGAAAAATTACAGAAAAAAAAGAGAAAAAAAATATAGAAAGATGATTTCTCAAGTGTGCACAGAATCATTTTTCTCATGGTGATTCGAGAAAGAAAAAGTAAAGGAAGCGACATTGAAAGATATCGGTTTTTTTTTTAAAAAAAAAAAAAAAAAAAGAGGGCAGTGGCGAGGCACCCAGGCTGTGATACGTAGAGACAGTACAGAAACTTTATAAGGAGCTGACTGCACTTATTCATATATTATTATATATATAATATATATATACATATTATATATGTTATATATATATATACTTATATTTATATTAACTATATATATCCTAATCGGATCCCCTGATATCGATATATGTATATGTAAAGTATATATTATAAGAATATACTTAGGCGAGCGAGTGAGAGAATAGACAAAAGAATGAGAGTCACAAGAGTGTGCGAGATAATTTTAGGGTATAAGAGGGATTAGAATTTTTTTTTTTTTTTTTTTTTTTGTGAGCACAGAACACTGTTGAGCAGTGTCCTGGAGAATCACAAATTAAGCGCGAATACGATATAAATAATGATACGATAGAGTCTATTATCACACACATAGCATAATAATATATTGCTAGCATGTACGTTGTTTATTAAAACGAGAGAGAAGAGAAAAACGTGAGGGGGTGGGGCAGGGGGGACCTTTGAAAAAAAGCGAGAATTTTTCCCAGGTGTGTACGGAGTGTGTGTGCTTGTGTGGCAGAGATGAGGAACGAAAGAGAGAGAGAGAGAAAAAAAATGTTGAAAGAAATTGAGAGTTAAGAACGTACTCGTAGAGTAAAAAGAAGTAAATCAGCGAGGCTAGAGAGACAAAAAAAAAGAAAACAAATAAAGAGGTAGTCGTAGTCAGTCAGCTAGGTTTAGGTGACCGAGTCAAGTGCAAAGCCCTGTGCCTTCAGCAGCGGACATCGGCTCACCGAAAAAGAAAACAAACAAAAAAAAATAAAAAAAAAAAAACGAAAAATATATGAAATTTAACCGTCCGTTTTAATTTTTTAATAAAATCAACAAAATCGTAATAAAATATTGTAAATTTCAAAGAGGTTCAATAACGTTGTATTGTTAGGAAAAAAAAAAGAAGTGAGAAATGTAGAAAGAACTAGAACGACGGGTGAAAATTATATCTAGAGGATTTAGTGTGACGGGCATGAAAGTGAAGAGATAATCGTGAAAAAAAAACTAACGCGACGATCACTGCCCCTTTATTGGGGGCTGTCGAAAAACATTATTATGCTAGCATGAAAAAATTATTAAAAAAAAACAATGACAGCATCAATCATTCGATTTGCTGACAAAAGGCTATTTTATGGGGAAAAAAACGAGCCTCACCGTAACGACAAAAAAATAACAAAAATACGAAGTTATACGTTTATACCCAAAAAAAAAAAAAAAAACACTCGCATACTTTACACGCGCTAAGAATTCTCAATGTTGTAAAACTGTAACATTTACGCTATTATAAATGATTGTATGCAGTTGTATTCTATAGTAAGTAACAACGCAAAATTTTCAACAACAACAAAAAAAAGTCACAGCTTCGTGTTAGAAAAAGGCGCAATTCAAGAATTTTAGAAAAAAAAATTAACGATAAAATACTCCAAAAAAAGAAAGCAAAATTGTTGAAGTAAAAATGTATAAAAAGAGGAAAGATGAAACGAAAAAAAGGCGCCTTATTTTTGAAAAAAAAAAAACGTGAAACGTGACAAATCTTTATAGAAAGTGCTATGCCATAAAAACAAAATAAGAATGCAAAAACACACATTATTAAAAAAAAAAAAATAATAAGTAATAAGTATCTCGTATAACGTTACAGTCATGCGTCATGTTAATCGATAGTGTGCGGCATGTCATATGTTGCAGAGAGAATTTTTGGACTCTGGCGTTGTTTAACCCCCTTTTTGAGTCAAGCAACTGATGACCTTCGGTTCGATCATGTTCGATACACACATTTAAAATACACGTAAACTATAATAAACCGCCTGTAATATCTACACACACGCGGCAACTTCCGATCGGAAGCTTAACTTTTTCTCTACGAGGGTATAGTAAAGGGGGGGTACAAATTTTTTTTTCTTTCTCGGATGCGAGAGTATACATCCGAATTTCAAAGATTTAAAAATTAACTTTGTAACGCCACAAGGCAGACACTGCCACACCGCAGAGTGAACGTAATAACACCATAAAACATCATTAACGCTCTTATTAAGAAAAAAAAAATTGATAATAAAAGCGAATCAGTCGACGACGAAAAAGTAGACAGAGAGATAAAAATATAAAAACAAAAAAAAACAAAAAAAAGAATACAACATACGAGCAAGAAAGACCATTTTTTCCCGCCAATGTCAGGCTCAAGTAGAAAAAAGCTCATTATTTGAAAAAAGAAAAAAAGTTAATCAACAATCAGATTGATTAGTCAAGTGCGAATTGTAATTTTAAAAAAGAAAGTTTGGACTTTTTTTTTTTTATTTCAATTTTTGAGAGTTTATTAACGAAAATGAAACTTTTAAAATTTTGTTAGAAATATAAAATATTTTAATTTGTTTTTTAAAATTTAATTTCATGTATAGTTAAATTAGTTTTATTAATTCCAATTAATGAAATTAGTTTTAAAAAGAAAATGAATGCAATTTTAATTATCTTTCTTTTAATGCAATTTAATTTTTAAATAATGCAATTGTTTAATTTTTAATAATGCAATTTTTAATTTTTAAATGCAATTTTTAATTTACAAAAAAAAAGAATATTGCAATTTATTGATAATTTAAAATTATGCAATTTTAAATTTATTTAAAAAAAAGAGATAAGTGATGCAATCTTTAATTTTAATTTGAGAAAAAATACTTATTAAATAAGTTTTTTTCTTTTGAATAGAATTTAAAATATAGAAAACTTTCATGTGTATAATGATTCTGCCTAAAAATTGAAAAAGGTTTTAAAACTCAAAGAAATAAAACAATTGCGCACAATCTAGAAGTATATATTATTTGTAATATATACATATAGAAGAAACGAAATAATTGGCGTCAAAATAATTGATTAATCGAATTAGTATTGTAATGGAAGGAGAAAAAGAAATTTTTTTTTTCACTTGAGGCCGAAAATTGAGTGAGAGCCCTTTAGGTTATTAGGCTCTAATTTGTTAAATTCTACATTTTAAGATGTAAATTTTTAAGCTCTTTTAACGGTATTCGATGTAAGTTTTTGATCAAGAAAAGAATTTCAAAGAATTTAAAAAAATGTGGAGCCTGACTATGGTTGTATCATTGCCATTTGTATCTCATAATATTCCTAGGACGTAGATAATACAATACCTATCGTCTAATCTTGTAAGTACCGTGCATTATCTACCACTCGAATTTTATTCGCATAATCATAATCATTGCCACAGTCAATCATTATTGTTGAAAATGGAAAGCATTATTAAAAAAAAAGCAACAATCGACATGACATAATTGCGAAGACATTGCCCAGCTCCATTGATAAACGCGATGCAAAAAAAATAGTCGTGAATTATTAAGAAAAACATTTGTGTATAGGAAAAAAAAATGATGAAACTCTTTAAACTTAAGCACTTCGCTCGTAACGAATGCGTTCGTCTTTAACTCTTTATCCACTTAGGTATATGTGTCGCGGAAAATGACGAAAAGGAGGAGAAGATTTATATAAATTATTATAATAATACATATAATGTGAGAGAAGCACGATGAAAGATTGAAGATTTATTAGAATATTAATTAAATGGATAATGACTCTCTTTAGTGAAAATTTTTTTAAAAATTAAATTTATTAAAATTGATATTTGAACGGTATTATGATGTTGTGCAATATAGTTAGGTAAAATTGTCCAAATTCCAAACAATATTGTTTGGCATTTTTTGTGTAAGAGTCGAGGATTTTATTCTTCCTCTTTAGTTGTGTTTGTCTCTATAAATATAAATTGAAAGCAAAAAAAAATAAAGGCGATTCAATCGAGAATTCACGAATTCGTTTTTGTCGCATACACGAGACAAAAACAAAAAAAAAAAAAAATCTTCTCCGATTTTTCATTAAAACCGTCGACGGCAGGTCCACGCATTTTATTATTTTAGTCACGCATTTATTCGTATAGTTTCGTGAGGACGATTTGAAAAAAAAGAACCGAACGAAAATACTCTAGCTGAAAAAAATCATTCTTCGAGAGCTTATAATATTGTGAACCCAATGAAACGTTTGTCTTTAAAAAAAAAAAAAAAAAGATTTCATATATGTCAAATAAAAAAAAAAAATTTAAATATATTGAAAACAAAGATATTTAAAAACTTATAAACAACTAATTAAATTTGTTGTATCATTTAAGTTTAAAAAGTTAAAATATTTCAGTATTAAATATTGTTTTTAAATATAGTCGATTTTTTTTTTAAATTTCATTTTATAAATTTGAATTCACAAAAAAATAAGCTTTTGACTATTCATTAACACGTGATATATTAAAAACGAGACAAGATCGCAGCAAGCAGATAAACGAATAAATGCATTAAATTGAAAACAAGTGAAGTAAAGAAAAATATGCACTTCTACGATCACTGCCAAGGGCGTTATCTATATTGACGTCGGTTTTATTTTCTTAGTAAAAAAAAAAAGTGATTGTCGTTTTTTGCGGCCTTTTCTAGGCTGATTGTTCACAATACTGCCAAGCGTAGAGTTCAAATCTCTGTGGCTTCATTATTATTAATTTTTAATTTCTTTTTGATTCTCTTAATGAAACTTATTGTTAATAATACTCTATATTGTACCGACTTAATTACGCGAATCGTAAATCGATCTGTCGTTCGACTGTCTGTCGGTCTGTCTGTATTTCCGTCTTTTTTTTCCCCCATTCGAGATTAAGCAATTTTTCTTCACAAAACTGCGCGAGAAAAATTCAAAATCCTTTTTTTGGCTTGATTTTTTGAAAAACAATTTAAAAAATAAGTTTACAATTTTTTTTATTTTGCATTTTTAAAAAGATTATGATTAATATTATATTGGTTGAGATCAATATTAATATATAATATAATTTTATAAGAGAAGTTTAAAGATATATTTTAAAATATCAAAAAACGGATTTCGAAATTTTTTAGCCAGTCACTCGTTTCTAATGTATAACGAACATTTTCCAAAAAAAAAAAAAGAGACCTGCCGTTATCGGTTCTATTCGCTGTCGACTAATTACTAAATTTACTCCTGTACTTGTACACACGCGCAAAATACACACACACACACATATACATAAACAAACAAAAAATCTAGGGGGGGTAATAAATATTTATTGAATTACGAATTTTATTGTAAAAAAAATAATTGGAAATTATCAAAAATTTTCTAAAATTCGAAATTTGTTGTAGGAAATTGAAGTTATTATTAGTTTTTTTTTTTGGGAAAATCACACACGAAACACACCTCGCACGTTAGAGCGTGCAGCTTTCTTTAAGTATATCGAGTATTATTATATCTATCTAATGTATACTTAATTATATTCACTCGAAATTTTAATGTTAAAAAGAGTGGTGCGTGTTTCGTGCGTAATAATTAAAAAAAAAATCAAAGATTAGGAAAAATTGGCCGATTGCTTGTTGGCAATATTTATCTCGGTGAAATTTTTCATCATTTATGTAAGAAAAAATTATTTCTAAAAAAAATATTAGAAAAATTTAGAAAACAAATTTTTTTTCACTAAAGAAGAATACCGAGATAATGTAAATTCGATTAAAAAAAAAAAAAAAAAAAAAAAAATGAAATGATTGAGAGAGAATGAGAGACAGAAATCGGCAAGTTACGATTGGTGCTTTGAAATACATTAGACTGAATTATTGTTGTACATTAAAAAAAAAAAAAAAAAAAAAAAGTGGAGTTTACTCCTACTAATAATTGGTAAATGATTATTTCTATTTGGACAAATTTTATATGCGCTAATCATGTAATTTGACACCGATATATCCCAATACACACGGACTCATTATAAATTTGTTAGTCCCACACGATTACATGTACACTCTTTACAAAATATTCTTAGAAATTATACTTTTGAGCTGCTCTCTGCACTCGCCCAATTTCAACGTTACGTGTCACCAATTCAAAATGTTTCTTATTAAAATTTTATACTCATTATTTAATGTATTTTTTATATTATTTTAATTTTATTTTACATTGTATTTATATTTTAATCAGTTGTTTTCGATAAAAAACAAATTTATTTTAATTGTAATTAAATTTAAATTATAATTGTATCTCAATTATAATTTAATTATAATTATAATTAATTTAAAATCATTATTTTTTTAATAATTTTTAAAAATTTATTTTTTTTAATTTTATTTTTTAAAAGTTTATTTAAGTACACTATATTTAATTTTTCTAATGGGTTAAATTAACCTTTTTAAAAACCCCAACAAAAATCACAACTTTACATAATAAAATATTTTGTTCTGGTGAACGTAACAAAAAGAAAAATTGTATACACTATATTGCTAAACGCACTTCAAAACAATTGAGCGTGACAAGTACATCAACAAATATTATATTTCAACGATTATTAAAAAATAAATATACAATAATTTTAACAAGTATAAAGGTCTTTAAGCGTATAGATCGTTAAATGAACATTTAAGGTGAAAAACAAGCAATGTAAGAATGAGAAAAAAAAATTAACCGAGAGTAAATAATGTGGGGGGAGAAAATCTATATTTAAAGAAAAAAAAACGAGCAATTACTGCAATGTATTTGTCATTTGTAATGCGAAATATTAAGCTTAAGCAAAAAAAATTTTAAAATTAATATTAATTAAGAAAAAAAAAACAGTCTCGAGGCGAGGCATATAGACTGATATGACTGAGTGGTAGAGACACTCCTGCTGCACCGTACTGCTATTTTTTGTGTATTGCATTCATTATATGCACGACTCCATTGCTCTTATTGATCACCAAATTTTTTCCAAATTTAAATTATTTTTGAAATTTCAGACCTGTTGTTCCATTTTTTTTTTCTTTTTCACGAAGAAGAAAAAAAATTTTCGAAAAAGTTTTTCTTAAAAGAAAAGAAAATTTGTCTTAAAAGAAGAATTTTTAAATAAAGAAAAAGAAATTTTTTTTTCAATTTTTTTCTTACAAGAAAAATTTTCATTCGTACACGAAAAAATGAACAAGGTGTCTCGAGTTTTACAAGTAATTTTGTTTAAAAGTTGGACGTTTTTGAAGAAAAAAAAATATTTTATTCTCTGTTGTACTGGTTCAATGAGAGCAGTGGCACGGAACGAAAATCGAACAATAAAAAATAAATCGATCACATCCAAGATGCTAAGCGTAGGATCGCTCTGAGCGTTTAATTAGCGTCATTTAAAAAAATCTGACGAAATTTCGAAAAAAGTGAGACTTGCGTTGGAGGATGGGTTATAAGCAAGTCAAGAAAATAAAGAGAGAAAGAGAGAGAGAGAAAAAGTGAGAGAGAGAGAGAGAGTTGTAGAGAAAGAGAGACGCATACAGATATTATGTACATAATGATAGTTTAAGAGAGAATGCGAGAATGTGAAAAAAGCGAGACGGATCATGTAGATGTAAAATAAGTTTGTAAAGCACGCAATGGGAAATTAATGTAAAAAAAATCAGTCTTTGAAATGCCTGTAATTTTAAAAAAATCCTGAAAAAAGTAAATTAAATAAAATTTTTATTTCCATATTTTAAAAATAGTCAATAGTAGAGAGAGAATTTTTATTTCTTCTTCTTCATATATCAAGCAAGATATTTTCTACCAAGAATATATATATATATATATATAGGAATAAACAGAAAAGGCAAAAAAAAAGACCGAAATATTGTTCCCATTGATTCGCTCTGCTAACACACTATTTGCGTTTTTTATTACATTATTCAAGGAAATTTATACACACGCAGTCAAAAATTGTGAATTTAGAGAGGAAAAAATTGTAAAACTCGCAAAATAGAGTTGATCAATTTTTTTTTCTACTATTAAATTGTATTTCACATGTTTATTATTACAGTTCGCGTCACCTCCCACAAAATAACGGCGATAGTTGCAGTGAATATTAATGAGTATTTTATTTTTATTTTTTTCATTTTTTAGTTGGTTATCAAAAATTGTTTATTGAAATTTTCGAGTGAAAAAATTTCTCTGCAACTTCGCTTGATAAATGAAAAACCCGCAAATGTTGTATTGTTACCCAGAATATTGATGGTGTCTTGAATGTTTTACTGAAAATTACGAAACAAGTTTCGTCAAATAATTTTCTGCATTTCATTCTCGATCTCCTGATATTTTACCTCATGTACTGACAGTTTAGAAATAATACCCCCAACGCCATACGTACAGGGGAGGCAGAAGATAAAGAATGTTATTCCAGTGGTATTATTAAAGTTAGTAAAAAAAAAAAATAATAAATAAAGCGTCGACAATGAGCCGTTGCGTTTGAAATGTTAAAAAAAGTTTTGTAAATCGTTTTCTCGTTACACTTCTCTTTATTTATTTTCCCGCTCTTTGCGTGACTACAGACAGTATAAAAAAATTTTTATTTATATAGATATATATAATTATGTTAACATTAGCATATACTTGTAAAATAATTTTTGTAGAGGTTTATTTTTTTTTAATTTTTTTTATTTCTACAAAGAGTTAATAAAATATTTTATAACATTTTTTTTAAAAGTAATATAAACTATTATTTTTTTTGTGATTCATTTATTTTTTATTATTTTTTTTCTTCTAAATACTGTCTGCGTAATTTTATTTTAATATTGAAGTTTCGCATTATTTTGGGCAATAAAATAATAACATAGCCCCCTTATAAAAGTTTAATAACTGATTCTTTTATAAATTTCGTCATATTTGACATTTTTAGGAGAGGAAAGTAGAGAGTATAAAGAGATGTGATTAATTTTAATTGTTATTAATTTTAATTATTGTATTGTACTATTAATTATGTTATTGATTAATTATTGAACGATTAATTAATTAATCATTATTGGACCGTGCAATATGTACAAAATTGGACTAAATTACCTTTTTATATGAATATTGTAATTAGACGCAGCGTTGATGAATATGTAGAGAGTCGAGAGTACTCTGCGTTGAAAAATGAAGATAACCACACTCTTACACACACTCACGTACACGATAAAAGATATAACTAAAAAAAAAAAAAAAAGGTGAGCGAAGCCCTCTGTCTGTTGTATATTATTTTTATTTCCACCTTTTTTACATAAAAAAAAACAAGCAAGATCGGCATGGACCATGCGATGTATGGATGATATGTTCCAATAATAGAGTAAATCTTTCAACAAATATATATGCAAGTGTTTTTCAGTTTCCCTAAAACCTGTATTTTTTTTTTACTAAAAATGAAAAAATGATTAGAAGTTAGAAAATAAAAAATTTTGACTTTTTTAAACGAGTCTTTTTTTATTATAAAAACAATAGTTTTTATTTAATGTGTTTTTTGAATAATTAATATTTCCAATAATATATATATATATATAATAAATAAACAAATAATTTAAAAAATTAAGAATTTTTCTTAAATTTTTTTATTTATAGAAACAGAAAATTTTATTTTAATCGGTTTGCCAAATTATTGGTAGAATAAGCAATGTTTTTCAGTAAAAAAAAAAATAAGCCAAAAGTTTTGAACGTTCAAATAAACGAAATTTTTTTTTCAATTTCTTTAAGTACAAATTTTATTACAAAATATTGTTTTAAATATCTAAACAGAAGTTATTAATTAAATAATTGTTTAATTTACTGTTTTATTTTACATTGCCATTATAATTTTTGATAATTTATAAATAAAAAAAAAATATATTTCGTTCATTTAAATGTTTAGAACTTTTGGCTCATAAAAAAAAATATTCTAAAAAATCCTTTGAATTTAATTATTTTTAATTGAAAAATTATCAAAGAAGAAATGATGAAAATTTTCGATTCAGCAAAAGGATTTATTTATCACTTTTTTTCGAATCCTTACATCTAAATCTATTTTTTTTCGGCGAACACGCAGCACAAACTGTATTTTATAAATACAGAGATTGAAAAATATTTTTAAATCAGCCACAAAAAAAATGAACCTGTTTACACTATTTTGTAAAAGACAAAAGTGTACTTCATTCCTTAATGAATGTTGTAAATTCTATTCTGGCAGTAATGACATTTTTGTCACAATAATGATATATAAGTATCTTATCTCAGTAAAAAGAAAAAAAATGGTGTACAAAATTTGAAATATTTTTCGTTTTTTTCGTATTTTCGTAATAAATTCATTTTTACTGAGATTTTAATTATTTTTAAGTCTAAAAATATTAAAGGTATATATAAGATAACAATATTTATTCTATATAACATTACGATAAACTAATGAAAAAAAAACTTACTACACCGAAAGACTTTTATTTCAAAAATTAATATAATTTATTTCAAAATGGGCTGTTTTTGTACTATTTAGTCGTATGGAATAGTAAAAAAACAGAGTTTTCCCCATTTTTAAATAAATTATATTAATTTTTGATACAAAAACTCTTTTAGTGTAATAGATACCATGTTTTTTTAATTCGAAAAAAAGTTATAAAACCACTCATAAAAAATTAGTGGTTTTGAATTAAATCATTAATAATGATTGAATCATTTTTGTTAAATAAACATTAATATTTTAATGAATATAGATTAATTAACACAAAACTTTTTTTTGTGTGAAATTTTCTGAAAAGTAATCACTTTTTTTTCTTTTTAATTTTCTATTAACTATATATATATATATATGCGAATTAAATAAAAAGCAATATTTTAAATGCAAACTTTTTCAAAAGAAAAATATAGAACGAAACTGAAAAAGATTATTTAAGTTTTTAAATTTCCAGTAGAACGTTCGAACCATTAGTTTATACAAAAAAAAAATATATATATACTTATCTCTTACAATCTAATATAGCGCTCTAGAAATTGGTAAAAGTTTAAACATTATCGCTCATTCCATCACTTTCCGAAACAAGGGCGCGTTCAAGAATTACGCGGCCTTCCTTATATCTTTGGTTTTCATCTGTTGCAAATTCATATATCCATCCGAGTTTTGAATCACAATTTTTGCAGCTCACATCACGAACCATATGACGTCCTGTCAACATCACACGATCCTGCACTTCGCTGTAAATAAAATAATTTCTTCATTTAATTTTATTGCGATTAACTATTATATATTAATATTACAATCTTAAACTTTTAATTAATTTAGAATTAGCTTAGAAATATTTTGATGATACTTTAATTTTTTATAATACAATTATAGATCTTAATTTAAAATATCGGATATCTATATAGATGTAGCTACATAATGTGTTTATCCAGTGTATAATGTTGTTGACAGGTTAGAAAATTATATATCAACAATAAAGACAGATTAATATTACCTGTAATTTAGGTTGACGACTTTATTAAAAAGAAAAGCTCTTCCAGTTGCACCAGTGAAACGAGTACTTATCAATTGACCTCTGTTTGTGAGATTTGTGTCGCACGATGCGCATGAAAAAAGACGAGAGCCTCCAATATGTTCTAGAAAAATGACACCCATTTTGAACAAAAATTCGTACGTTATTTAATTCATAAACAACTTTGAAGACTTTCAATACATTCAAAAACTTTATAATAGCACTGGAAACGTCAATGACGAACTTTTGGAAATCACGATTTCATGAAACTTTAGTTGACTTTCATCTTTGTTTTGACATACAATACGTGTGAAAATATACGTTTATATGTGTAAGTGTATAGGTTAAGTTGTCAGCTGATCTGTCAAAATCATCACACTTTCACTGAAAGTTCATTAATTCTTTTTAGAATCTTTTTTTAAAGTAATTTATCACAATTTTCTGATTCCCTAGTGTTTATATGAACAAGAACGTGAATAAACAGAACAATCATTTTTGTAATGATAATAAAAAATTAAAGTTGCGTCAGCTGCGTTTACACGTGTGAATTAGGCTTTAAATTGTATAAAATGGCGCTCACATTTCAAATTTAATTTTCTTTGTTTAAAAATGAATTAATTAAAAGCAAATTACTATATTATTGAAATTATTAATAATTATTTGTTGATAAAAATAAAAAAGCGTTAAATAGGGTTTTTATACGTTTTATTGTGAAAAATCTTTCAGTAAAAGAAATTTTTATATTTAATCGCAATCATATTTTATTTTTAGTAACAATAATAATAATTATTAAGACGATTTGTTTTTAAATTAATGTTTGTAAAAAATAAGTGTTGTAATTAATTTTGAGCTCATTGGAAGACCCTAAGTATCGAATTTAATATTAATTGAGATGATTTAAGTTTTTTTTTTTTTTAACATTCCGTATTTAAAATCCGCATACAAGAATAAATATAGAAAAATAAGTTGTAAAAACACGACTCACTATAATTGAGTTTTCGATTCGAGAAATATGAAATATTTTTTAAAAAACACTCTTCACATATTTTTCAACACGATATGCAGAGAAACACTCGGATTTTATTCTATCATTTTTTTTTCACTCAGAGTCACATATCTTTTTAGTTAATGTAATACTTAAAACGTCATTCAAGATTTTGTTTATATTATGTACAGATTAAAATGACTTTACAGTGTGGAATGTCTCTTTTTAATTCTCATTAAAACACTATTAATTCGGAATATAATGAAAATTGTAATAAAAAGGGCCAAAAAGTCATTTAGTTAAAATTAGAATATAAAAAATGACTCCTTAATAAATTCGACTTGTGCAAATTGTGACTAAGTCATTCATAATATTTTTTTTTGTCCCTAGGTATGCCTAACACTCATATTAAAAAATAACAAGAGTTCTCTACTGATTAGGTATTACAGTAATTAGGAACAAGGGACGCATAAAAATTGTCCGAGCTCTGTACCTGGAGAAAAAAAAATTGTTCACAGTATTTTTCTTGTACTTTTTGTAGAAAAAAAGTATGATCAGTCTATTTAAGACTCAAATGTTTAGAGTTCATCCTTTTCATCTAATTCAACATCACTGAGATCAATTTCTTCCTCTTGTGGTGGTTCAGCGTCTTTACCATCCCAAGGTTCCGTCTCGTAAATCTTTGGAAGTTCATTTCCTTTAAGAGGAGCTGTACTTCCACGTCCATAACTTAAATCTCTAAGAAATTCGTTGATTCCATCCTTAGAGAAACTTCCCTTAAGAAGAGAATATTTCATTTTTTTAATATTAACTGCCGCTAATGCTGGATAACCAAAACCTCCAATCTCCAAAGCTTCCTCAATATTTGGTTGTGCTCCAGCTTCCGACCATATCCATCTGTAACAATCAAAAAGGTGTTAAACTTTTTGTTGAAAAAAAAATAAAAAAAAAATAAAAAAAGTTTATCATTTACCCCCAAAGCTTCTTCTTATATTTCTCGCCAAGAGTTTTTAGAATATTCAAATATTCATTTCGACAATCCGACTGACAGTCGAGAATATGTGGCAAGACAGAAACAATGCAGAGTGGTTTATCTTCACAAGCTTCTCTCAATTTCTTTTCACTCGTTACTTGAACAACTTCTGGCGCTGGAATGCTCTCTGTTAATTTCTCCATTGCCCAGTTAACAATGTCATTGCTAGTTCGACCACCATCGTATTCACTCACTGAATCTGAATCTTTTTTGCCGGCTGCGAAGAATTTAATAGTCGGATAACTGTTTACTCCATATTTGCTTGCCTAAAAATCAAAAAATTCCAATTTATATAAACATCAAACAAATTTGTTAATATTAATTGAATTTAAAAATCAATATTAAGAATATAATGAAAAAAAAAAATTACCTTCAATGTATGTACAGTTGCATCGAGGGCTCCTAATTTAACTTTTCCTTTGAGTTCTGTAGCTGCAGTTGCCCAGTGAGGTGCTAAATTTTTACAATGTCCACACCAAGGAGCATAAAATTCAACTAACCACAGATCATCTGATCCCAAAACCAATTTGTCAAAGTTCTCATCAGTCAGCTCAACGACATCTTTGCTATCTTTAGAGTCTTTCTTCGATGGTGACTGAAAATCGACGATTAATTTATTAAAACAAAAATTAATTAAAATATTAATAATTTAATTAATTTACATAGTTACTGTGATTATACCTACCAAAATTTTTTGAACTTTTTGTGTAGCTGCTTTTAGTGCAGCATCCGCGATTCCAGCAGCTGTTCTTGGTCCATTGTACTCTTCGGGTTTGCCAGCGACAAAAATTTTTATAGTTGGAAAACCACGAATACCATATTGTTCCGCTAATGATTTATGATCATCAGCATTAACTGCACCAACTTTAATAATATCCTATAGAAAAAAATACCTTTAGTTATTAAATTTTATGACAAAATTCATGTCTTTTTTTGATTTTTTTTAAACGATATCTTTTAAGAAAAATTAGTTTTTATGGTCTTTATATTAAAAAAAAAAAATTATTTTTCTCCAAAAAGTAAAATAATGAGTTACAAAATTATTAAATTCTTAATCCTCGAGAGTATTGTTTAGTGTTAGCATAATTTTACACTTGAATAGATAAACACAAATTAATAATGTAATCTTTGTTGATTTAATCAAATTTGAATTTTATCATATTTGCAATAAATACCTTCAAGGACGTTGCTGCTTTTTCATACTCGGGTTTTAATTGTTGACAATGTCCACACCAAGGTGCATAAAATTCAACAACCCAGATACCTTTACTTCCCAAAACTTGATTCTTGAAGTTGTTTGCTGTTAATTCGACTACATCCGTATTTGAATACATACATTGCACTCCTGATAAGATTCCCAACATCAAAATCGCCCACTCTGAATAAAAAATTATTTTTCATAATTAATTAAAAAAAAAAAAAATAAGTTAATTATCATTACAAAAAATAAACATAAATACATTATATGTATACATGAAAAAGACAAATCAAAGAAAAATATACCTATATATTTGTTATATTAATTTATAAATGTGACAAAAAATACATTTGCATTGGTAATAATTTATTTGTATAATCAGAAATAAATTAAGGAACAATATAAATATTCAAATAATACAAATAACTTTTTAATTTTTGTTTAAGCGTCAAAATGCTTCTAAAGACAAAAAAAAGGTCGTAATTTCATAATTATTTACAAGCAAAAGTTTATGTTATATCTATTAATTTAAGAATTTATATATTTTTTTTATTTTATTTTAAAAATTAGATAAAGCATGGCAAGAAAAGAAGCCGGTGTTGAAAAATGAAAGAAAAAAAATATATATACTTTTTTTTAACTTACCGTGCAACATTTTTATTGATTTTTTCTAACAATCCGAGATCGATAATAAACCTACTGACTTTTTGGAAGTTTATGAATTAACGTTTCACTTTTCTCTTCTACAAATTTTTACCAAATAAAGCCTGGAGAGAAGCTATTTGTAATATATGTACACCACATCCCACGGCACACACGTCTGTAGACGAAGCTTTTCGTGGATTGTTCTGATTGGTTGACGTCATAAAATTTAGAAAGCAGCACGAAAGCAGAAAGCTACATGTTTATTTGTCAATATATAAGAGGATGGGAAATTATACTTACGTGTTTAAATGTTTTACATTTCTTTTTACCATTACATTAAAAGTCTAATGTTAATTATATTTTTTATCTTATGTTTATTAGAAAATCAATAATAATATAATAGATGTATATTTAACTTGAATAATTGTAAGACAAAATGTAATTTTAAAAAGTAACAATTTTCCCGCTGACGATTGGTAAATAACGGTTATTTTCGACCTACCAATGGATCGTCATCTTATTACAATTGTTTTATGTTATATCCAACCAATCACGGTTGTACATCAGTATCTATAGTTCCGACGTTCCGACCCATGATCGTTCCAACCTTCCAACCTAACCTTCAATAAGAACTGTCATTGTACTGTCACTTCAAATCAACAATGAATATAAATCATTTATATTATTACAATTCGGAATTTCTTCGAATATGCATTTAAATATTGAAAAAATGTATATAATGGATTATTGAATTTTATAAAAAATTGTGGGGTAGAATTTATTTTTAACTTTAAAAAATGCAACGAGCAAATGTAAGTATGTTTTTGTTTACATGTATTTTTATTTTATTATTTTTAAATTATAAAATAATAATAAATAACAGCCTGTAATTTTGTTAATATTAAATTATATTTATTTTGTTACGTTTGATATTAGTATGTGTAATTATTTCTATAAATATTGTAAACAAGTTTAATAAAATATTTGTTGTATACAGCAAAATGGTCCAATTAATATTAATGCAAATCATCAAAGGCAACCAATTCGAGATATTAGACCACAGGGTTTAAATAATTCTGCAATGTCTGTCTCGGATCAATTGAAGGAATCATGGTTTACTGCTATTTTTAGTTCAATACTATTTGCAATTGGCATGTGCCTTCTTTTTTGGAACGAGGTAAATATATATATATTTTTATATTATAAATAAATGTTAAAAATTTTATTTGTATCATTTTTCTTTTGCCTTACAGGGTAAAGCTGTAAAAGTAGCCCATTCTTTAGACGAAGCTTTAAGTAATGTTGTAATATTTTCTAATCCAGTCGATTTTGACAATGAATATGAAGGTCGTTTAGTTTATTTCTCAGGACCTATAGAGGTGGTGGAACCTTTAACTGAACCAGAATATGGAATTATTGTTGACAGTGTGAGATTAAAAAGAAGAGTACAAATGTTTCAATGGACTGAGATCAAGGAGGAGACGTTAGAAATTTTCTTCTTTTTTTTAATAATGCTTTCTTATATAGTTATATTTTTTTTATATCATTAAATTAATTTTTTATATTCCTCTTATAATATTAGATACGATTTGCCCGCTGATTATTATTATACACAGGAATGGAAAGATAAATTAATAGATTCTGATCGTTTTTATATACGATTTGGACATGAAAATCCAAGGGAAATTCCAATAAAAAGTCAAGTACAAATTGCAGATGAAGTTAGAATTGGAGCTTTTGTTTTTGGCACAGAATTAAAGAAGAAATTTACTGATTATGTGGAAGTTACAAGTGATGAAAGACCTGAACGAAAGGATATAAAAATGCATTCAGGATTGTATTATCATAGTGATGACTTGTGGAATCCGAAGGTAATATTTGAGATAATTTTTTTTTAAATGATTACTCTCATTATCAATTAAAATATAAATAGCACCATTTTTTTTTTTTTTTTTTTTTTTTGTTAATGAAGTGAAATTTTATTTTTAAAATAAAGAGAAAATAATTGAAAAATTATTTTTCAGGTTGGAGATATTCGAATACAATTTTCATACGCAGGAAAAGCTGGAGATATTTATTCAATTGTTGGATTACTTTCAAATGGAAAAATAGAACCATATATTACCACTCATGGAGAGGAGATTTTGCTTCAACGCAAACACCAAGTGACAATAGATCAAATGTTTCATCTCGAACATGTTAACAATTATTGGAGAACTTGGAAAATGAGGTAAATTTTATTAATTAATAATTAATTTTTTTTCCAAATACATTTTTAATTAAATTTAAATTTAAAAAAATATATTGAAAATTTAGGGAAAAATTTACTTTCAAATAATGTGAATTACTTATTTTTCTTTTTTAACAGAGGATTAGGATGGGGTTTTCTCTTCCTAGCAGCAACGTTTATGGCAAAGATTTTGAAAACTGTAGTTTTAAATTCAAATCTTCTGCACAGTTTAATTGACTTGGATTCATTGAATTTGTCAGTTTCAATGTCAATAACTTTATTGGTAGTTGGATTTGCTTGGGTGTGGTATCGACCAATTGTCGGTTTATGTTTGGCTTTGGCTTCTATTTTGCCATTTATGTATTCAACTTTTTTTAAAAATCCTTCAAATCAACAGAGAGATGAGTACCGAAGACTTTAACTCTTTCATAAAGCAGTCGTATGTACCTTTTTTTCTTTTTTCATTTTTCATGTGTAATTAAAGATTTTTTTTTAACACAAATTATTGGACAGTAAAAAGAAAAAAGTCCTAGCGTAACAAAAATTTTTTTGACAAATCGTTGTTAAAAAAAATGATTATCAGTTAAGATTATATTCGATTAGATTTCAAGATAAGTGCATGCGGAGTGTTTGATTACATATTTATATGTAGATGTAATATTATTTTTTTCTGTGATGACTTAGTTTCTACTTAAATAATAATTCAAGTAGAGAGTTATTTTCCAAATAACAACTTTAAAAATTAAGGTTTGTGATTTAATAATTTAATGAAACTTATTGTATATATATATAAATTAATTTGTGTATATATTATATAACACTGAGTGTTAAATTGTGTCTGGAGGTAGTGCGGTGCCAATCTGAATAAAAAAAATACTTTAATACCTTGTGGTTTATCATTTATTTTAAATTGCATGACGACAATTTTATTTTTCTATAATTTTTTTGAACTATGTAAGGGAGTCAAAGTCAGGGTAAGAAATTTCGAAAAACTCAGAATAATTTTTAATTATTTGATTCCATTCAAAATCTATTCTTCATTTCAAATTAAGATTTTCAAATATTAAAATTTAGTACATATTCCACGTTAAATTGCAAATTTTTGCAAGAATTAACCACTCAACCTTGGAGTGTAGTTCAAATTTGTAGTTTCTATATTTTTAAAAAAAACCATTAAAAGCAATAAAAAAATTGATTTTATGTTTTCATATTTATTTTCTTAAATTTCATTAATAACTGATTTTTTAAAAATAGAAACTAAAATTTTAATTCTATGGCAAAATTGACCATTTGTTTGCATCCATCTTGAATTTCTCCCACCTAAATTGAACTATCTAATTTGATAAGGTTGGTGGCAATATATAAAAAATTACTAAAAAGGTTATGTTGACATTGAATTTCAATTTATAGACATAGTATAGTGACAGGCAGTGAAGTAGTAGAGGCAAATCAAATAAATGTTTTATTGTATCAAAATATTAGCATAAAATCATTGGGTGTAACAAAAGCTCTATATATCTACGTTTTTTTAAATATTTTCAAAATTGTCGAAATTGAGTTAACTCTATGAAATTAATTTTTAATAGTGTCAATAAAATTTACAAAAGAAGAATGTCAACTCCAATAGTGAATTTATGGAAAGCAGCATTAAAAACATTTACAGGACAAAATGATGTCGGATATAAATTTTGTCAACAGAATTTCGAAAAATTGCACAGCCTCATTAATGAAATTAAAGCTGACGATGTTAAATTAACACCCGAGATTCTTCGTTTTGTAGAATTTCAACCTGCTCCAATGTGTTTTATTCATATATTTGAAAATGACGATATTTCAATTTCTGTTTTTATTTTGAAAAATGGAGTAACAATGCCCATACATGATCATCCTGGAATGCACGGTTTATTAAAGGTATAAATTTGTAATTATATATTTGTTATTAAATACATTCCAGATGGTATATATTTTATAAAAATAATTATAATAATTAATATCTATTTTAATTAATGAAATTTTATAAATGGAATTATTTTAGAAAACCAAAATTTTTTATAGTCATATAAATTCATAAATGTCTTATTATTTTGGATTTTTATCAAAACATTGCCAAATTCATTGTTACAGGTTCTTAGTGGAGTTGTAAATATAAATAGTTACACAATTCAAAGCGAAATTGATTATCTTGTAAATCTCGATAAGAAAATAGAAGCTACGAGTCATGCTCCAGAAATAGTAAATAAAAATGATCCAGCGTGTATTTTAACACCACGTAATAAAAATTTGCATGGGATTAGTTGTGTTGAAGGACCAGCAGCATTTTTGGATATCCTTAGTCCTCCTTATAAAGTGGACATATATGGTGATGGGGAGAGGCCATGTACTTATTTTAAGATAATATCATCCAACGAAACATCGTCGTCAAAAAATGATGAAATATCGGATAAAGTACAATTAATTGTAACCGATAGTCCTCCAGATTTTTTTTCGAAAACTTTAAAATATAGCGGACCGGTTTTAAGTTGACTTTCATAATACTTACTAAATTTTCATGATATCAAAAGAGTAGTCATTTATTTAAAGAGAATTAAATTGAAGAGTGCGAGAAATTTTTTTTTAAATTTAATTCTGGATCCTTTATAATATTGTAAGAAACAAAAAATTCATTTTTTTGTGCAATTAACAAATTTTTGGTTTAATTAATTTGTAATGTTTTTTTTTACATACAGTTTGAAAACATGTGGTGGTTTTCTTGAAGTATATTGTGAATATATAATCAAAAACAATTATATTTTTAAATATTATTTTATGTAGATGAATATAATTACGAGACATTCTTAAGGAATATCATTTTTTTTTCTTATAAAAAAAAATAATTTTTTATACGTTTTATTTTTATACCAAAGCTTAGGAAATTTATTCCAAATAATATATATGTAAAATTAAAGAGCATATTAACACGATTATTAATAAGTTACGTTTAATTTTGGGCTATGCGATAAACAAATGTCAATTTAATGTATAAAATAATTCTGTAGATATAATCGTACTTAATATGTAATAATGTAAATTTTTAAGCATTAAAAAAATGGAGTAACTAATTTTTAATTATTCTTAAAAAAATTATTTTCATTATCAAACATAATAATAATAATAATAATTAATATAAAATTTTGTAGAGGGAATAAATGCAATTGAACAAAAAATATGAAAAAGAAAATGTACTTAATTAAATAGCACTTTAATAAAGTGACTTTATTATTGCTTTATGAATGATTTTTAATAAATACATTTTTACATCACTTTTTGTGCAGTTCTTTTTACATTTTTTTTTTTTTTTCAGAACATTAAATATTATTTTATTTAATTTTAAATTAACATAAAAATCGACTTGTATTTACAAGGCATTAAGTAAATGAAAATCAAGTTTTATTTTGCATTATTATTAATGCATTAAAAAAAAATTATTAACAATAATTTATTAAAATATAAACTAACTAAAATTGTGTTCAATGTAAAAACAATTTTTTTTGTTTTTTCTTTCATTGATGAAAGTGTTTGCGCTTTTTTTGATAAAATTTTTAAATAACTAATAAAATTAAGTATTAATACTTTTTTAACAACGGCATTTTCTTGCATCGTTGTGGTGTTACATTTTTTACATGACCAAATTCAAATCTTATTCGAAGTTCACCTATTTTTGAAATTGGCAATATATCCGGGATCCATTCAATCAAAAAAGGTGTTGGTTCTACTTGACTCGGAGACGTATTTCCTAAAATTTAATTTAATATTTTTAATTTTTATTATATTAAGTAAATATTTAAATTGGAAAAATATTTCTTGTACGTAAATTTATTAAACGAAAAATACATACCAACTTTTAAATATGTTTTTAATTCCATAGGTTTGATTAAAGCGCTATTTACTGTCTTTTTATAACGATCAATATCCGTTTCCTCTCTCTTATACAATTGATAAGTACCATCGGAATTTTGAATAAAACTCCTCGTAATTTCTAATGGAATTAAAGGGGTTTCAAAAATACTTTTTACATGTAGAATATTTGTGATTTGCCATGTATATTTGATGAATGTACCCAAAGGCACACCATCTTTTCTAACAAATGAAGTTGTCGAATTTGGTAAACGTTTCTTCTTTGCACCGCAAGATATTCTTTCACGGAGACATTCGAAAAAAATTTGTGGCACATGAAACACAAGTGGATCAGGTTTTCCATTACATTGAAAATGCATTGTTTCATTAATTCTCTCAGTTACTGAGGCGAGCCAATTTATAAAAGGTTGATTAACTTTATTTTCATCCACTGATTCATTAGAATAATGAAATTTTTTAGTGTGCATTGTTTTAGTTTTCACTTTTTTAGGTTCAATTGATTTTAAATTATTGATACTTATTGTATTTGTCGATGAAAGTTGATCGTTTCTTTTTCTTTTCATAGAATTTCCAAGTCGTGATGGATAATTAGTTTTAGAAATTTCTGAATTGCATTCAATTATTGAATTTCTATCAATAATTCGTATACTATTTTCAGGAATTATTGTATTTTCACCTAGAATTCTAATACTATTACCATCCAAAAGAACATTTGTGTCAAGAAATTTGACATTGTTGGTATTTATTATTTCAAAACTATCGTCTATAACACATTGACTGCTATTTATGTCGTCTAATTTATCTAGTATCGCTTGATCACTTATTATTTTCACTGTTCTCCCATCAAAAACGGCATTTTGATCAATTACCTCTAAATTGTGTACCTGTGAAATAATATTGGTATCACTCAAAAAATTTTGATCGCTTATTTTAATATTATCGTCAATATTTTCTGATAGAATGGCTGTGTTCAAATTCACTGAATTCAAATTGCCTTGTACATTATGAACCGTAAAGGCATCGTCTCGGAAAATTAACAAATGTGTATCTTCAGTTAGACCTTCTAAATCTAAAATTAGACGAAAATAATAATTATTTTTATAATTTTAAAAATAGTTAATAAATAATTTTTTTAAATTTATTAAACAAATAATTTACCCATATTTATGAATTTTTCACTTTCATTACATCGAAGATTCGAGCCGATTGGCCTTGGTACAGGTAGATAGGAATGATCAAGATTAATGTAATATTCGAATTCTTCTGCTAATTTATCATCGCTAGCAAAAGCACAAACACAAGCATAGAAATGAACGCAACGCGATTTTTGATTAACATTGTTCATATTCACTTTATGTATCATTGATTTCGAACCCTGTTTCAAATAAATAAATCAAATTATATATTTAAAAAAAAAATTTTTTTTTTTGAATAATACTTGTAATTAAAATTGACAATTTTTGAAAATTTTCTTTAGAAGAATTTACCTTAAAAGTAGAGCAACTACAGAAATATTGATGTTCCACTTTGTCTTTCACTTTCATCATAAAAAATGAAAAGTGTAAATAACCTAAAGGATGTTTGGAAGTAACTTTACATTTAACAACCATCAAATGCTTAGATACTCTTTGTACGAGAGGTGCCGACGTCTCTGTTGCCAATAACCAGATTTCCTGTTTAATTTCATTATTGACATTTAAAGACAGCAATACTGAATTTCTTAACGTTAAAGGTTGAGCCTCCGAATAACATCGTAATGCTGCTTGAATATGTTGACAATTTTCTAATGGCTTTTGTACTAGTTGTTTTTCCTGAAAAAAAAATATTTTTGTTTATATTATATAATTTTTTTTAAACGAAATAAAAAACACAATTAAACGAAAAATTGCAAATTTTCATTTACATGACACTCCAATATATTTGCATCGAATCTTCGTTCACAACCATCTATAAAGCAAAGTGATGATGATAGAGCAGTTACATTCATAATTTCACCATTAATTAATGGCAATTGAACAAAACCTCGATAATCAGGATCTTTATCACGTGCTCGTACGGAAAATATTTGAGTAGTTGAGCCTGTTATTAATTTAGAAGCTTCCGTTGATAATTTTCGTTTTTCACCCGGTTCTTTAAATACTGCATCACAATATTTATTTTTACAACAATGACCCCTTGAACCATTGTAGGTTCCACATTTCGGACATTTACGTACTCCACGTAATGTTGCCTTTCCAAGATCTGACAAAAGTGATTTTAAACGATCTTCACTGGCCATTTGTACTAAAAAAGCAAATATCTTTTAATTAAAATACAAAATTAAATGACAATAAAATAATGTATAATTTATTAAGCAAAATATAAAAACGTGCTATTATTACACAATGAATAAATAGTTATTGAATAATGAAAATATGTCCTGAGTCTGTAAAATGTATTTTGTTATTTAAAATAGAAAAACATAACCTATATTCACATTAATCAAATTTATGTTTGATCTTTAATATATCAAAAAGAATGTTATAAATAATAAAAATCAAATGAGAAGAATAATGTTTACTAAGTTTAGAAATAATTTGACAAATACAACTCACCCGTTTAGTAAATTTTATATAAACCATTCATATACATTAAAGCAGGTTTAAATTGATATTCACATTCAATCATTCAGAATTGTGGATACAAAAATTTAATTAGGAAAATATTTTTTTTTAACAAAAATAAACTAGAAAAGATAATCAGCTGATCATTAAAGTTTGTTTTCATAGGTACGATTGCGAACGGAAGATAAAGAAATTAAAACTCGTTTTCAAGTAGAGATGGTGCATTGACTTCCTTCTTACAAACACATGTAAGGTTAAGTATTATTGACTATTATACACTTTTTCTTTAAAATCCTCACTTTTTGAAATGACCTAACATATCAAATTATTAACAATGAAATAAATTTCTGTAATTTAATTCAGAGATTTCGTTATTAAATTATAATTTATTTTCTATTTTGAAACCGGAAAGAGATTCACCTCCATCTTTATGAGAGTGATTCACTACGGTCGTCAAGAGAACGAGAAAATGAATTCTCCAATCAGATTCTAGAACATAATTATAGCGGGAATTGTAATGTCAATGATTGGTTAAATGGCATTTAGTATTTGAAATTAAAGTTCTCACAGTGACCACTATGCGCCTTGTGTCACTAGCGTCTGGTTGTAAATTTCTTCCCTTCCTTCTTTTCGTCCGACTAGTGAACACACGCTTTGACGCTCTGTCGCTTAACACTGTATAGTTTTAACGCGTCTAGTATACACAAGAATCCTTTTTTATCTAACTAATCGACATGGCAGAAGAATATTTATACGGTAAATATTGCAAGTTATGTGCACCGGGAGTCCGAGGTTGCTTTATTGCGTTCGGATTTCAACTACTTTCTTCTCGTCAGCCATTAAAATTTTGCGGTGCTCTGGTCGCAAGACGCCGGCAGGCGTTCGGCCATTGTGACTAGTCCATTGTCCTCCGCTTGGCTATACGAGTTTTGTTTTACCAAAGAAAATTTAAATTTTTTCAAAATATATTAATGTGAATTCTGTTGTGATTTGTGTATTCAGGAATCACCCTCGAAGGACCCAACGCCTCTGAAGTATGGGATCCAGAGCACAGAGCAGATGATCCTGACGGCACCAGTCAGCACTTTGGTGGCGATCAGAAACTCATTATTAAAATGGTATGTGAAATTTTTGACAATTTTTATGTCAACAAATTGTTTATCTACTTCTAATTTAGTTTCAAATATAACGAACTTTCGAGAATTACAGTTTTCTGTTTTGGAGCGTCTCTAGTGAATTATTCCCAAACAATTAGATATTGTTAATTATAGATTGTTGTTAACTTGTTTGAAAAATTACTGTTTTTACTTTTAAGTGTTATTTCTATGTGGCCTTCTTAATTACCAGGTGTAGTATTGCACTAGGTGTAGGGATTTGAAACCAATTAGAATTTACGCGCCAAGAAATAGTTCCGCTTTTTTTTTTTTTTTTTTTTTTTTATCATGTCTGGATACTTTCATTAAAAATTTTGATACAGAACTTATAGGTTATTTCAAATTAAGTTTGTTTGAATGATGTCTCATTATAATGGCAAGTTGCGTGATTTTGTATAGTTAATGAGGGTTGTGAAAAATTTGATTGCAAGAAGGGGAGTTCTATAATCAATGAAAATTCGTTAAGTTGGTATGTGTATTGTGTATTCATACTTGGCGCCATTTTTACTAGAATGGCTGCCGACTACTTCCCTTTTTGTCTCATTGAATATAGGCCTCAAGAAATTAAAAGTTGGCATCACTATAAATTGCCGGGAAATATTTAAGTAATTATCATGGAGATAATTGAAAAAAAAAGAAAAGAAAATAGACAACAAAAAATGATATTGTTTCCTGGAAACTTGTAATTTTGCTTTTAGAAACTTGTTTCTTTTAATTTTCTCCTTGCAAATATATTGTTATAAGATTTCAGCATCTTATGAAATTTTTAGGTACAAACTCCAATAGAGATAAATTGTCTGTCAAATATTCGTGAATAGAATATTTCTATAAATATATAATTGTTTCACCTTTGTTATTTGTTATTATTATTTATTTATTCTTTAAAAGTAATTATTATTAATAATTTGTTTATTTTTTTAATTAATATGTTGACAATTTTTATAATTTATGATTTCTTTAAAAAAAATAAAATATCTGTGATTTATTTCCTGGTCCAGATAATTTATATAATTTTGTTGAAAAAGAAAAATTTTAATTTTTTTTTCGGGAAAAAAAAATAATTTATTAAATTTGACAGGCACTTCTTGGACCAGAAGCTAAACCAGGTGAATTGAATGTTTTGGAAGTTGAAGCCACTGGACTGAAAGGACCCATCAAAATCCCAATAGCTTTACTCGAAATGGGCAAGACTTCACAAATTATTCTTGACTTAAGTTTTCCTGACCCACCAGTTACATTCACATTGGTTAAGGGAAGTGGACCCGTTCACATAGTTGGACACAATCTTCTTGGTAAGAAATACAAAAAAGAAACACATTTAGATAATGTTAATGAAAATTTGTAAAATTAGTTTTTTTTTAAAATAAAAAAGATAAGCATGTTTGTCAATAATTTTCATTTAAAATGTATTAAAAAGTTGCAATTACTTTATATACATTTTTATTATATTAATGTTATGTTTATATTTGAAAAATATTGTCTCGGTAGTGAAAAAAACACTATTTTTAATGTAATTAAATATTTTCAGGCTCTCATATTGAAGAATTTGAAGATATGGAAGATATGGAAGACGAGATGGAAGAAGAAAATATTGACGATGAAGATGATGAGAAGGTAATGTATTCAAATTCAAATAATTAAATGTTAATTTAATTTATGCAATTATAGCTTCCTTTTAAAAAGACTGGACAGTAATTGATACATTTTTGGGAATTCATGTTTCTTTCAAATATTGATATCAATTTGCTCTTGCAATAGTTTTTTGGGGATTTTATCAATTAATAATCAATAATTGACAATTATCTCTATATTTAAAATTTAACGAGAAAATATTTTATACATTAGTTATTTTATAAGTTGTTTCAAGATGACATGGAAATTTTAATATTTTTTTTAATATTGAGAAGTAAATTTTTTTCTAAATCTTGAAATGCTAATAAAATGTAAATCTTAAAGCATTTCATTTCATTTCATTAGACAATAAAATTGTCAGAATCTAATAATGAAATGGCGTATCATGTTTTGTGGCTCGTCACCAAATCGATGAAATTTAACGAAGTTTTATTTTATTTTATTTTTTTTTTTATTTTTCATTCCCTCATTTGATTTCCCATTCCTTGCATATTGTTGAGTTGGACTTTTAGACGATTTCTTTTGATTCGTTCTTTATGGGAAGGATATTTTAATTTTTAATAAAAAAAATATGAAAGAAAGGAGATTCTGTATTAAGCGAATGAATTTTTGTTTATAATGGCGGTATTCTAAAATTTTTAGGAAATTTTTTTTCTGTTTACTCTTTTTTTTACTGATGTGCATGGAGGGGAAATCACATTTCGATGAAATAATAATTTGCTGAAATTAGTCATAAGTAAATTGTTAATTACTTTCTTATGTATCTTGAAACTTGAAGTATTTTTTTTTTTTTTGAGATTAGTTGTGTTTATTTTGAACGTGGAGTATATAAATCAGAAATAAAAATTTCAGGCACCACAAAAGAAAAGAAAGCCAACCGCAGAGGCTAAAAAAAATGGCACCAAACGCCCTAAGGTGGACGAAGCAGTAGATAAGTGATGTGTTAGGAAATCCATTCCGTATTATTAATTTTAATAGCGTACATGGATAAGTTTAACATTAAAAAGAACCGTCTATTAATAAACGATAAAACGCCGTATTATTAAACAAAAAGAAACTTCAAAGAAGCAAAACTGATCGTCATAGAAGATCCTTTATAGATGTACCATCAACCCCGTTTTTTATCCTGCATTTTAATTTAGATTTGTTACCTCCATTCTTTTTTGTACAATAAATCATCATATTCGAAAAGAATGCTGTGCACGATTTTTCATTCATTCAGAATCACAACACTTCATATTTTCTTCACTTTCTTCATCTTGGTGACGTGCCGTTTTTAATCATCCAACAAGAATCAAGAACTGACAGTCGAATTTCTACTGCATAGAAATTAATTATAATAATTTTTTAATTTTTTCAATATTTGAAATTATAAGCTTTTTTTTTTCTTCAAATTGTTAGATTTGAAAAAATAGTACTTTCTTGTTTTATAACGTTTGCAAATTTTCTATTTCAAGTTTTTTGTTTCACGTCATTCTTTTTTTTTTAATTTTTTTTTTTTTTTACAAATTTTTCACAGTGAGAAAAATTAAATTGAATTATCGACTTTCTATTAGGACCCAGAGGAAGATGACGAGGATGATGAACCTAAGAAGAAGAATGCCAAAATGTCGTCAGCCGCTAGAAACAAAAGTCAGGCGAACAAGAACAAGAAAAAATAAATTTCCGCCTTAAATAAAAATAATTGCACAAAAAAAAAAAACAACACTCATATAGGCTAGGCTTTTAACAATTAAGTTTATAAACACAATTAATTTGTGTTTCAGCGAATTTATTATCATTTTCCATGAAGTCGCAATATTGTGTGTGGACAATGTTAAATGCCTGATTTCGGTTATTGTACTATATATGTATTGAAAAACAATTTTTTTTATCAGTCTGAGTGTGATTTCAAAATATTGAAAATTTTATAGTATTTTTTTCTTTTTTTTTTTTTAAGTAAAAGGTCGATTAATTCTAAAAGAAAAGCCCCATATTTAGAAATTATTTTTTACATTCTCAACAGTGTGAGAAAATCTTTGATTTTTTATAATTAGTCTTTTTCTGATGATCTTAATATGTAAAAGTCGATTTTTTTTTCAAAGCGACAATTGTGTCTGTTTTAAAACAGATACGATCATTGTAAAAATCAGTAACTTATGATTGGATATACGTGTGATGTACTTAAGTGTTTGTTATTAAACTAAGTTTGGACAAAGTCTCTGTACTTCTTCAATATATTACAATCATGTTTTTGACTTAAATTTAGCAAATACGAATTATTTTATTCAATTTTTTTTAACCGTTCAGTTATTTAGGAATTTATTACGTAAAACAATTGTCCATTTAATTTGTTTTAAATGTTTTTTTGTTAAAAAAAATATTTTTAGTTTTTATAATTTTTTTAAAAAATATTTTGTATTTTTTTTCAGTTTCATTCTTTGGTTTTGGGAAGCTCATGATACTTCTGTTTAAAAAATTTAATAATTTCTAGATGCAATCGCACACGTATATTATTTTATGCTTTCCCAATTTTATCGATACTTCCAATTAATCAAAAAGTAAATATATAGTTGCTTATTATTAATTCATAAGTCATTGATGATGAACGATAAGAGATAAAAGTATTTTGTGTGAGAAATTTGAGTTTAAATAATTGTAGGTTATTTGATAAAAAGAAAGATGTGCAGCATGTGTTTGAAAGAAGAAAGTCAAGATAACTAATAGTGTTACCAAAAACCCACGTAGATAATAATACAAGAGAAAAAGAAATTGTGTTTATACATCACGATATTCATTCCACTTATTGATGAGAATTTTTTTTTTTTTTTTTTTTTTTTTATTTTATTTTGCTGGTGTACAGCAAACGTTTAATCATATACGCATTTCAACATTTTATTCGAAGCGTGACAATTTGTATGTCCGTACACGAATTTTTGAATTTTGTACATAAACGATACAATAAATTTCAGATAAATTTTAATCGACTTTCCTCATTAATTTGAGGTAAATTCCTTAATGAGGATTAACTTTAGAAATTAAATCCTAATGTGAATCATTCGATTATAATTATTAATAATTATTAGTTTGCATAATAAAAAATTATTTTTAATTCGTAAATCATAATTTTTTTTACAATTAATAGTTATATGGATGAATTTATAATCACAAAATTTATTTTATTAATTAATATATTATTAAATGAAAAATTAAAATTTATTGAAATTATTGATAATTAAATATAATTAATATAAACTCATTTTGTTTGAAATTAAACACAAAGATTTTATCAGTTGAAAATTTAGAGAATTTCAAAATTGTATTGTGTTTTATAATAATTTCGCAAAGTTTTTAAAGGTTACTTTAATTGGCAGTTATTTTATATATATATATTTTTTTTGTTATGAGTACCGTGGATGTACCAGTTACCGTCCATGTCCCAGTTTCCGTCCATTTTACAAATATCTCGTATAGTAATTTAAATTATTTTTTAACAATAATTTATTCCTTTTGTCACACAATCGACTTATTAGTTTAAGTAAACAAATAAAAGAAAATAATTTTTTTATAAATGTTATTTTGAAAATTAAACTGGACGGAAACTAGGTCTTAGGTGGACGGTAACTGGGACATCCACGGTACCTACCAAATGTATGTTCACATCTGACATGGAAAAAGTTATTTTTCTATTTAAAAAGAAGAGAGGAAACTTACTATTTTATTATTATTTATTATTAAAATAATAAAAAAAATTTTTGCCACGAACTTTATTCATAAAGTGTCACGTTGGTTAGGTTTTTAATAATTTGGGAATCATTTATTTATTTAAATTTTGGTTCGCAATCTAGGTAAGTCATAAACTGTTTCTAAAGTTTCTATTTATACATCATTGTTTAAAATGTAAACAACGAGTATCAAGTTTGAACTTTTTAAATTTATGTAAAAAAAATTTTTAAATTAATTTTATACTATAAATCTAAGTACATTATTATTAAATATAATTTTTAAACATTTTTAATTACAGATTTGTTAAATCTTCCGAATTTGATGATATGCAGAATATTCCACTAGATAATGCAAATTCAAGTAATAATTCTTCATCAAAATGCAAATCCGCAAAAGAAATAGCAATTTTGAGACAACAGGTAAATAAAGTTTTGCAAAAAAATTTCTAATTAAGTTTATTTTACCTTCTATTTTTTAGGACTAACAGTTGAAATAAGAGAAGTTTAATCAATATGTTTAAACAAAAAGTAATAATTTCATATATTTCTTTAATTTTTAAAAGCTAATAAGTTATTACTAATTAATTTTATTAATAAAACAAAAATTTCTCGCTAATTAAATAGTATTGCTATATTTTTTTTTATAGTGGAGTATAATTTGAAAAATAATTACAATTTTATTATTCAAAGTTAGTAGAACTCAAAGAAACCGCTTTAGAATTAGAAAGAACGATTCAATTGAAGGAATCTCATGTGGATACAGTAAAACGAGATAATGAGAGATTATTACAAGAATTGAAAAAGCAGCAAAGAACTAACAGAAGTATAAAACGTAATTAAAAGATTTTTCTGAAATAAAATTATCATCCCCTTATTTATGGTAGATCATATTGTTTCTCTGCAAGACGGGTAATCTAATATATAGGCAATATGATGTCGATAAAGTAGATATCTTAATATTTGTATTGATTAAGGGTGGAAATTTTCAAAATTTAAAATTTTTACTTTCCAAAATTTTAAAAGAATTTTTTTTTCTTTTATACCTATATAATTTTGAGTATTTTTATAATAACAACAACAATAGCAATTTATTATATATTTATTATAATGTTCTTTTTTTTTAAATAAAATTACCATGAACACTTTTTTAAATGAACTCTTTTTGAGAATTGAATATTTTATTTCAGAACAGCTGGATGATGAGAGATATTTTTATCAAAAAGAAAAAGATCATTTTCATCGAGAATTAGAAAATTACAAGGAAAAATATTCGGAAAGTAATTCCAAGTTTCACTATCATGAATGCGAGAAAATAAAATCTCATTTTGAAGAAGTGAATCGAGATTTGAAAAATAAATTGAATGAAAAAAGTCAAACGACCTATAATCTTTGTGTGAAATTTCTGCGAATGAAAATGTCTAAAGAAACACTGAGAAAAAAATTAGATCGCCTCATCAATGAGCATTTGCAAGTGATGTCGGAGATGATGGAAAAATTGGATGAAGCAAGAGAAGAATTCAATATCATTGTTTCCGACAAATTTCAAGAAAAATTGCCAATTGATAAATTAAAGTATCTTCAGGTAATATATATATATATATATATATGAGAAATAAATTAAATTTGAAGTTAAATATTAAAATTTTAAATATTATATTAAAAAATTACATCAAATAGATTGTAAAGAAAAATAGTCGTTTGGTCCATGAGAATGCAACATTAAAGTTACAAATTCAATATCTTATACAAACAATTGATACATTTAAGAATGATTCAGAAAATTCAAAACCAGTAAAAATTGATCCTAAAACTATTGACAAATTAATAGAACGTAATCGGGAAACACGTCGAAGGAATTATTTGCAAAAAATTGTAACATTGTAAGGAAAAATTTAAAAATCATATTCAAATTTAGAGAGTAAATTTTCAAATTGAGAAATATTTCTTCTTTCGTATTAAAATGAGAATCTCATTATTTTAATAATTACAAAATTTAATGGTAGATTATTATAAGAATTAAAAAAAGCAGTAAAAAAACTAATATATATATATATAATACAAGTATAAAACGTAATTATAAAAGTTAGTAACTTAGGTAACTGTAAGTAATAAATTGTGTGAAGAAATGTAAATTTATAATTTGCGCATTATGAAAGTTAAAGAGAGTATATACATAAATTTATAGAAAATTTAGGAATTCGTTCTAGGAAACAATGATTTTTTGCTATGAGATTACGTATTTGTTTCAGACCGTGTAGGGACAAAATCGAGACTCAACTTTATTCTAATATGGAAACTTACCGGATTGTCGATCAATCGGGTGACGCTAACTTGGTAACGAAACTTGATGAAAAACATTGTAATCAAGTTTTGGAAATGGATAAAGAATTTTCAATATCTAATCATGATCAATATTTCATTGGAGCAAAAATCATAGACACACAAAGTGCACCAGCAATCGTTCAATCATCCACATTTGAGCAATACCATTTTATTTTGACGGATGGCATTATTTTTGAACGAAATCTCAATGTTCGTGATATGGGAACGACAACTTAAGGAATAAAATTTGATTTTTGATTCTTTTTTTTTTTTGTTATATATTGAAAAAATAAATTTTTCATTTTATATATCTATTTAAAAAATGCAACAAAATACTAAAAAAAAAAATACTTTTATACAAAATTTAATAAAATGTAAAAAATAATTGCTTCCTTATTGAAATGAAAATTAAAGAAAATAGATTTTTAAAAATTTTCCATTTTTGAAAAGTTATAATATTGTGATATCTTCTAGTAAAAGAGTTCGCAAATATAGGACAAATCGATACGGTTTTAAATATATTTTACAAGCTGATTATAATATTTTTGAAGTTTTACATAACAAATTTTAAAACAAAAATTTTTCAAAATTCATGTTTAAAATTTTTTTTTTATTTTTAAATGATTAATAACTTTTGGATAAAATGAGTGAAAAACGATATCCTTTAGAAATTAATATAAAATGAAAGATAAATATATATCTGGGTGTCAGAATATTTTTCAAAAGATATGTGTAAATTACGTTTTTTCAAGAGGTGAAAAACGTAAAAAAATTTATATAGTTAGACTTGATTAATCGGACTCAATGTACGTACTCTCGTTTTATATGAAGAAAATTAAATGGAAATTTGATTTAATAAAAATTCGGCTAAATAGAAATTTTGTCAATTGGTCACTTCAGCGAATATCAGCCAAACTGGGTTGCTTCATTATTTTAAAAAAATCTGTAATCAATATAATATTCCTTTATTATTCACTGATTATTATTTCTGTCGAATGTTTCGAATTAAATTTCAATCATTTGTAATAAGTATATTATTCCGAGACATTCCAAAATTTGTTTCCGAGCCAATCAGTTTCTATCCGAATTTAAATTTTAACAAAATATTATTTCCGAATCATTCTGAAGCTGAATTTTAATTCTTTTCAATTCCATTTTTTCTTTATACGAATCCTTTGAAAATTTAAATTTCATTCGGAATCAATCTTATGAAAATACGGATTGATTCAGATTTATTGTAAATAAAATTGCATAATTTACAAGAATTAAAATTTAGCATCGGATTGATTCATATTTATTCTGAATTAAATTTCTAGATTCAAAAGAATTAAAATTAAGCTTTATAATAAAAAGGATTGATTCGAAATGATCAGGAAAGAATTTTTTCATAGAAATTTAGATTGGCTTTGAAAAAAATTTCGAAATGCTTCAGACTAATACATACCAAAACTGATAAAACATCAATCCGAAACTTTTGTCAAGAGGGTTTCAAGAATTTATTTAGTACAATATTTTTTAAGAAAATAATTTTTAAAGTTTAATAGATTACTATAGTAAAAATTAAATCATTCAATTCTATATAGCCACAAAATTATATATACAGGGTGTCTCATTTTAATCTATCAGGCGAAATAAATTTTAATCAGTTGATTTTACAAAAAAATGTTTTTGACAAAAGCTATTGTGCTCAGAGGGGGACATCCAGTGGTAAACTTGAATTTGACCTAAATGACCTAATTTAGGTCATTTCAAGGTCAATTGATTTTTTTAAAATGTAACCACCTACTTTTTATGCCGGAAATCGATAGAGCAGGAAATTCCACGTCGAAATCGTTGATGCACTTTTTTTCGCTAGATCGACCTATTTAGGACAAATAGGTCATTTAATTATTATTGTATTTGGGGAAATAACTTTAAACTAATTAATTTTACAAAAACATGTTTCAGTCAAAAGTTGTTGTGCTTTAAGGGGAATATTCAGTGATGACCTTAAATTTGTCCTAAATGACCTGAATTAGGTCATTTCAATTTCAACCCTGTATAAAGAAATAAATTAAATTAAATGAAAAAATTGCAAATTTTAATGATAATTTCTTGAATAATAATCAAGGTGCACACAGTTTTCCTAAAAGTATCAAATTGAGACCAAAAATTGCATCAAATCTTTGCAACGTTTTGATGCACATAAGTTATATCAAAAAGAGATCGTTTTGTGTATTATTTTCTTTTGTGGTCTCATTTTTTGATGCAAAAAATTTAATCAATTTATATCATGCAATCATGGCCGCATTGAATCGACTCAAAATTAAACGAATTTTTTTCAGATATTTTGGTAATAGTACAATTGCGGAGACCATTTCACTATTTAATTTGAAAATGAAAATAACAGAAAATCAAAGACAATGTGCAATTCGATAATTAAAAAGTGACAGCTTATAAACATAACCTAAAATGCATGAAAAAAAATTTGTCGATAAAATCAATATAGCCGAGCTTTTTAGAAGGTAGATGGCAGTTTTGCTTTTTATAAAAACGATTCAGAAAAAATTTAAAGAAAGAAAATAGATAAGTGCTGCCATCTACCTTCTAAAAAGCTCGGCAATATTGATTTTATCGACAAATTTTTTCTCATGCATTTTAGGTTATGTTTATAAGCTGTCACTTTTTAATTATCGAATTGCACATTGTCTTTGATTTTCTGTTATTTTCATTTTCAAATTAAATAGTGAAATGGTCTCCGCAATTGTACTATTACCAAAATATCTGAAAAAATTCCTTTAATTTTGAGTCGATTCAATTCGGCCATGATTGATATAAATTGATTAAATTTTTAGCATCAAAAAATGAGACTGTTTCGTGTATCATTTCTAAAACTGATACACAAAACGATCTCTTTTTGATATATAACTTATGTGCATCAAAACGTTGCAATAGAAAAAGATAAAACCAAGTTTACTGTGGCATAAAAGTAATATTTATATGAGAGATTCTTTTTCAATCGCCCCAGCCCAAAAAGTCAATGTTCTGGGATTGGCTTCATACTTTGGTAAATTGTTCTCCTATATGATAGTAATAAATCCCTAAAATATAAACTCATTAAAAAAATATTTGTAGAAAGTAGAGGGGGTTGAAGTTTTGACGTTAAGGCTAACATTGTCATTTTCAAATCCGTATAACTATGACAAAAGTTAATGGATTTTAATTTATCTATAATGAATTTTAATGCATTTTTCACGTACTTTTCAAAAATGTATACAAAATTTAAAAAAAAAAATTTTTGACCCCTTTTTTTCAAAATCAACCCTTATTTTTCGATTTTCACCCCTTCGGGTATTTTTTTTTTTTTTTTTATTTTCATTGGAAAGCTGAGGTTTTTTCCCATGAGCTATATAAATATGAAAATGGAACAACAATAATTTTGTGAGAAACAGAATATTAAAGCAGGCGGTGCCTACCTAAATCCTCGAAGATGATCTTTAGGTATACCAGTTATCGGCACCGCCTACATTAATATTCTGTTTCTCACAAAATTATTGTTGTCCCATTTTCATATTTACATAGCTCATGGGAAAAAACCTCAGCTTTCCAATGAAAATAAAAAAAAAAAAAAAAAATACCCGAAGGGGTGAAAATCGAAAAATAAGGGTTGATTTTGAAAAAAGGGGTCAAAAATTTTTTTTTTTAAATTTTGTATACATTTTTGAAAAGTACGTGAAAAATGCATTAAAATTCATTATAGATAAATTAAAATCCATTAACTTTTGTCATAGTTAAACGGATTTGAAAATGACAATGTTACCCTTAACGTCAAAACTTCAACCCCCTCTACTTTCTACAAATATTTTTTTAATGAGTTTATATTTTAGGGATTTATTACTATCATATAGGAGAACAATTTACCAAAGTATGAAGCCAATCCCAGAACATTGACTTTTTGGGCTGGGGCGATTGAAAAAGAATCTCTCATATAAAAATTGCATTGCAAAATAATTTCTTTTCTTTGCTGCAGAGAGAGAGAGAGGGGGGGGGGAAGTTAAAATAAATAGAAATTAAAATAGAATAATTTTCAGCTAAAGATAAGAATTTTTATTAAATAAAAATTGTGTCTTCACTTTGAATAAGATATTATTCTTTTCTCAGTAACTGTGATTGTAATTGGAATAAATTATAATTCATTAAGTATTAATTGGAGAATGGTTAGTAGATAAGGGTTTATGGAAAAGGTGGTATGTCCATTTATAATAACAACCGTTGCCGCGCCCGGGAGATAATGCACAAGACACGTTAAGGCTTCCCGTGCTCAATTGGTTATGAGCTAACGGAGAGAGATAGAGAGAGAGAGAAAGAGATGGTGGACGTCTCAATTTTCTACTCGGCTTAATGACCGATCGTTAAAACCCAGCTTCACTTCTTGAACCGGCTTGAGCATTTCAAGAGAGCTCGTCCTGCGTATCCCAACCCACACCTGCATCCTTTTGCCAAGCATCCCATAGCATATCCTACTAATGTAATCACTGTCCCTCGTAATGACGTTTATAAACCGCCGGTTGAGCTTCGTTGCTTTAACCATACTCACCAATGGCATTTCAAGACACCACTCAAAATACTTGTGTGTCTAATGTCTTAATTACTATACACATTCTTCAATTATCTTGTATTTCAAACTAGTAGCTCATTTTCACATTTTTCTTCATTATCATATAATTATAGTCTTAAGAGTGATCTATCAAAAAAAAAAAAAAAAAAAAACAATAATTAAGGACTCAAAATGATCCCTTCGTATTATATATAATCATTATTTGTGCTCCATTAAAAAAATAATATCCTTTAAATACTGAAATATTTGGTTTTTCTCAAAGTGTTTTTTTTTATAAATTCGAAAATTATAAACTATTACTACTGAAACAAAAATTACAGGAATTTCAAAATTTTCAGTTTACTTAAATTAAATTACAAAAATGCAGGATGATACACTTAAAAAACCTGAGACTCAAATTGAGTCGCGTACGTTACTTATTTTGAGAAGCAACAAAAATGAAGATAAGTTTTTCCTATATAGAAAAAACTTCTATATATCTGACTATAAATCTATCTTTTACAACTTAGTTAAAAAATATTGCAAGATTTTTCAAAAGTTACAAAATTTTATTTTATTTCAGTCTGGCTTAAACTGTCTTTTACTACTGATATCTTCACACAGCATTGAAAATTTCCTGAAGATTCATTGATGGCTTAAA